CTCCCCCCCCCCCCTGCCCCACACATCCTGCCCCATAGGACTCACCGCATGCGGAGACGGTGTAGCCCTCGATGACGCAGAGGGGGTGGTCCTGCCCCTGCCCCACATCTCCCACCCCTTGTCCATATCCCTCAGACCCACCCAACATCTTCCACCCCTTCCCCATCCCTGCCCCACATCTCCCCACCCCCTGCCCCACACATCCTGCCCCATAGGACCCACCGCAGGCGGAGACGGTGTAGCCCTCGATGACGCAGAGGGGGTGGCCGAGGATGAAGTAGCCCGAGATCTGGTTGATGACGCTGATGGTGCTGGCGATGAGGGTCTCGCCCAGGTCGGCCACCGCCAGGTTCACCAGGATCCAGTTGAGCGGGTGCCGCAGCTTCTTGAAGCGGGCGGTGGCCACCAGGACCAGCCCGTTGGTGAACACCGAGGCCACCACCACGAAGATCATCCACAGCGAGGTCAGGTTGTACACCCACCGCGGCGCGATGTGGTAGTTGGGGCCCTCGAAGGGGCCTGGGGGGGCAAACGGGGGCTCAGGGGGGGCTACCAACACCGGGGGCTACCGATTTCCCCATGTGGCTACTGATTTTCCCCATGTGGCTACCAATTTCTCCATGTGGCTACCAATTTTCCCCATGTGGCTAATGATTTTCCCACTTGGCTACTGATTTTTCCCATGTGGCTACCGATTTCCCCACTTGGCTACCAATTTTCCCCACCCCATAGCGGCCTGACCCATAGCGTGAAGCTCCGTGGGGTAGGGACCCATGGAATGGTAGACTCATGGACCCATGGAGCATCATCTCATGGTGAGACACCAAAGGTCTGTGGTGCTTGGGGGGCATGGAGAGGGGTTGTGGGGCTGCCCCATAGCGTGGAGACCCATAGCGACCTGCCCCATAGAGTACAGACCCATAGCAGCCTGCCCCATAGAGTACAGACCCATAGCGTGAAGCTCCATGGAGTACGAACCCATGGAGACCCATGGAGAACACACCCATGGAGTCTGGACCCATGGCCAGGGACCAGAGGGCCGTGATGCCTGTGGGGAGGACACTTGGGGGTCAGGGGGGGCTGCCCCATAGCGACCTGCCCCATAGCGGCCTGACCCATAGCGAGAAGCTCCATGGGGTAGGGACCCGTGGAACGGCAGAGACATGGACCCATGGAGCACCATCTCATGGGGAAACACCAAAGGCTGTGGTGGTTGGGGGGCATGGAGAGAGGTTGGGGGGCTGCCCCATAGAGTACAGACCCATAGCGACCTGCCCCATAGAGTACAGACCCATAGTGTGAAGCTCCATGGAGTACGAACCCATGGAGACCCATGGAGAACACACCCATGGAGTCTGGACCCATGGCCAGGGACCAGAGGGCCGTGATGCCTGTGGGGAGGAGACTTGGGGGTCAGGGGGGGCTGCCCCATAGCGGCCTGACCCATAGCGTGAAGCTCTGTGGGGTCCCACGTCCTGCGCACACGTTGTCCCTGCATCCCAGGATCCCAGGCACACGTCATCCCAGGATCCCCGCATCCCGGCCACGCATCGTCCCTGCATCCCGGGTTCCTGGGCACACGTTGTCCCCACATCCCGGGCACATCATCCCAGGATCCCTGCATCCCAGGCACGCATCATCCCTGCATCCTGGGGTCCTGGGCATCTGTCATCCCCACGTCCTGGGCACACATTGTCCCTGCATCCCAGGATCCCGGGCACACGTCATCCCGGGATCCCTGCATCCTGAGCACACGTCATCCCAGGATTCCTGCATCCCGGCCACGCGTCCTCCCTGCATCCCGGGATCCTGGGCACACCTTGTCCCCACATCCCAGGGACATCATCCCTGCATCCCGGGCAAGCATCATCCCCGCATCCCAGTATCCCAGATACTTGTCCCTTCATCTTGGGCACGCATCATCCCAGGATCCCCACCCCATATCCTGCCCCACATCTCCCCCCACCCCCTGCCCCACACATCCTGCCCCATAGGACTCACCGCATGCGGAGACGGTGTAGCCCTCGATGACGCAGAGGGGGTGGTCCTGCCCCTGCCCCACATCTCCCACCCCTTGTCCATATCCCTCAGACCCACCCAACATCTTCCACCCCTTCCCCATCCCTGCCCCACATCTCCCCACCCCCTGCCCCACACATCCTGCCCCATAGGACCCACCGCAGGCGGAGACGGTGTAGCCCTCGATGACGCAGAGGGGGTGGCCGAGGATGAAGTAGCCCGAGATCTGGTTGATGACGCTGATGGTGCTGGCGATGAGGGTCTCGCCCAGGTCGGCCACCGCCAGGTTCACCAGGATCCAGTTGAGCGGGTGCCGCAGCTTCTTGAAGCGGGCGGTGGCCACCAGGACCAGCCCGTTGGTGAACACCGAGGCCACCACCACGAAGATCATCCACAGCGAGGTCAGGTTGTACACCCACCGCGGCGCGATGTGGTAGTTGGGGCCCTCGAAGGGGCCTGGGGGGGCAAACGGGGGCTCAGGGGGGGCTACCAACACCGGGGGCTACCGATTTCCCCATGTGGCTACTGATTTTCCCCATGTGGCTACCAATTTCTCCATGTGGCTACCAATTTTCCCCATGTGGCTAATGATTTTCCCACTTGGCTACTGATTTTTCCCATGTGGCTACCGATTTCCCCACTTGGCTACCAATTTTCCCCACCTGGCTACCGATTTTTCCCACCTGGCTACCGATTTTCCCCACTTGGCTACCAATTTTCCCACTTGGCTACCGAATTTCCCCACTTGGCTACTGATTTCCCCACTTGGCTACTAATTTTCCCATCTGGCTACCAATTTCTCCATGTGGCTACCGATTTTCCCCACGTGGCTACCGATTTTACAGGGTGACTACCAATTTTCACCATGTGGCTACTGATTTCCCCACTTGGCTACCAATTTTTCCCACCTGGCTACCAATTTTCCCAGCTGGCTACTGATTTTTCCCATCTGGCTACTGATTTCCCCACTTGGCTACCAAATTTCCCCATGTGGCTACCAATTTTCCCCATGTGGCTACCAATTTCTCCACGTGGCTACCGATTTCCCACTTCCCAGGGTGGCCCCACATCCCCCCCTGGCATCAGCACAATCAGGCTACTGATTTTCCCCACTTGGCTACCAATTTTCCAGGGTGGCTACCGATTTTTCTCATGTGGCTACCAATTTCCTGCATCCCAGGGTGGCCCTGCATCCTCCCTGGCATCAGCATGATCAGGCTACCAATTTTCCCCATGTGGCTACCTATTTTTCCCATCTGGCTACCGATTTTCCCCACTTGGCTACCAATTTCTCCATGTGGCTACTGATTTTCCAGGGTGACTACCAACTTTTCCCATGTGGCTACTGATTTCCCACTTCCTAGGGTGGCCCTGCATCCCCCCCTGGCATCAACACAATCAGGGTCCAAATTTTCCCTGCGTGGCTACTGATTTTTGCCACTTGGCTACCAATTTTCCAAGGTGGCTACCAATTTTCCCCATGTGGCTACCGATTTCCCCACTTGGTTACCAATTTTCCCCAGCTGGCCACTGATTTTTCCCACTTGGCTACCAATTTCTCCATGTGGCTACCGATTTCCTGCCTCCCAGGGTGGCCCCGCATCCCCCCTGGCATCAGCACAATCAGGCTCCCAATTTCTCCGGGGTGGCTACCAATTCCTAAAGGTGGCTACCAACCTCCCCAGGGTGGCTACCATCCCCCTGACACCAGCCCAGGGTGGCTACTGTCGTCCCTGGGGTGGCTACCATCCTCTCTAGGGTGGCTACTGACCTCCCCGGGGTGGCTAGCAATTCTTAAAGGTGGCTACCGTCCTCTCCAGGGTGGCTACCATCCTCTCTAAGGTGGCTACCAACCTCTCCGGGGTGGCTACTGTTGTCCCTGGGGTGGCTACCATCTTCTCTAGCGTGGCTACCATCCTCTCTAGGGTGGCTACCGTCCCCCCGACACCACCACAGGGTGGCTACTCTTGTTCCTGGGGTGGCTACCATCCTCTCTATGGTGGCTACTAACCTCCCCAGGGTGGCTAGCAGTTCTTAAAGGTGGCTACCAACTCCCCAGAGTGGCTACTGTCCTCTCTAGGTTGGCTACCATCCTCCCCACTCCCCGGGGTGGCCCCGTGTCCCCCCCAACACCGCCCCAGGGTGGCTACCATCCTCTCTAGGGTGGCTACTGACCTCCCCGGGGTGGCTAGCAATTCTTAAAGGTGGCTACCGTCCTCTCCAGGGTGGCTACCATCCTCTCTAAGGTGGCTACCAACCTCTCCGGGGTGGCTACTGTTGTCCCTGGGGTGGCTACCATCTTCTCTAGCGTGGCTACCATCCTCTCTAGGGTGGCTACCGTCCCCCCGACACCACCACAGGGTGGCTACTCTTGTTCCTGGGGTGGCTACCATCCTCTCTATGGTGGCTACTAACCTCCCCAGGGTGGCTAGCAGTTCTTAAAGGTGGCTACCAACTCCCCAGAGTGGCTACTGTCCTCTCTAGGTTGGCTACCATCCTCCCCACTCCCCGGGGTGGCCCCGTGTCCCCCCCAACACCGCCCCAGGGTGGCTACCATCCTCTCTAGGGTGGCTAGCAAGCCCTCCTGGGTGGCTACTGTGCCCCTGACACCAGCCCAGGGTGGCTACCGTCCTCCCCAGAGTGGCTAGCAATTCCTAAAGGTGGCTACCACCCCCCCTAGAGTGGCTACCATCCTCTCCAGGGTGGCTACTGTCCCCTTGACACTAGCCAGGGTGGCTACCAACCTCCCCGGGGTGGCTACCATCCCCCCGACACCAGCCCAGGGTGGCTACTGTCATCCATGGGGTGGCTACCATCCTCTCTAGGGTGGCTACCATCCTCCTGACACCACCCCAGGGTGGCTACTGTCCCCCCAACACCAGCCCAGGGTGGCTACCGGGTCAGGGGGGGCTGCCCCATAGCGGCCTGACCCATAGCGTGAAGCTCTGTGGGGTGGGGACCCATGGAATGGCAGAGACATTGAGTGTGGACACCATGGAGCATCATCTCGTGGGGAAACACCAAAGGCTGTGGTGCTTGGGGGGCATGGAGAGGGGTTGTGGGGCTGCCCCATAGCGTGGAGACCCATAGCGACCTGCCCCATAGAGTACAGACCCATAGCGACCTGCCCCATAGCGGCCTGACCCATAGCGTGAAGCTCCGTGGGGTAGGGACCCATGGAATGGTAGACTCATGGACCCATGGAGCATCATCTCATGGTGAGACACCAAAGGTCTGTGGTGCTTGGGGGGCATGGAGAGGGGTTGTGGGGCTGCCCCATAGCGTGGAGACCCATAGCGACCTGCCCCATAGAGTACAGACCCATAGCAGCCTGCCCCATAGAGTACAGACCCATAGCGTGAAGCTCCATGGAGTACGAACCCATGGAGACCCATGGAGAACACACCCATGGAGTCTGGACCCATGGCCAGGGACCAGAGGGCCGTGATGCCTGTGGGGAGGACACTTGGGGGTCAGGGGGGGCTGCCCCATAGCGACCTGCCCCATAGCGGCCTGACCCATAGCGAGAAGCTCCATGGGGTAGGGACCCGTGGAACGGCAGAGACATGGACCCATGGAGCACCATCTCATGGGGAAACACCAAAGGCTGTGGTGGTTGGGGGGCATGGAGAGAGGTTGGGGGGCTGCCCCATAGAGTACAGACCCATAGCGACCTGCCCCATAGAGTACAGACCCATAGTGTGAAGCTCCATGGAGTACGAACCCATGGAGACCCATGGAGAACACACCCATGGAGTCTGGACCCATGGCCAGGGACCAGAGGGCCGTGATGCCTGTGGGGAGGAGACTTGGGGGTCAGGGGGGGCTGCCCCATAGCGGCCTGACCCATAGCGTGAAGCTCTGTGGGGTGGGGACCCATGGAATGGCAGAGACATTGAGTGTGGACACCATGGAGCATCATCTCGTGGTGAGACACCAAAGGCTGTGGTGCTTGGGGGGCATGGAGAGGGGTTGGGGGGCTGCCCCATAGCGTGCAGACCCATAGCGACCTGCCCCATAGAGTACAGACCCATAGCGACCTGCCCCATAGCGGCCTGACCCATAGCGTGAAGCTCTGGGGGGTAGGGACCCCTGCTCCACATCTCCCATCCCTTGTCCACAACCTCCATCCCTGCCCCACATCCCTTGTCCACATCCCCCAGACCCACCCCACATCTCCCTCCCCACGGAGCACCGGGAGCCGCTGCTGCCCCACAGAAGGCGCGAGGAGTGGCCGTGCCCCACGGCGCCCCACACATTTATACCCCCCCGGGATTTGCCCCCCCCAAAGCCCTTAATTGGGGCAGGAGGATCCGGGGGCCCCCCCCGGCCCGGCCCCAGAGCGGGGTCACGGCATAATCCCCCCCCCGGCACGACCCACGGCGCGACCCACGGTGTGACCCACGGCGCGACCCACAGACCCACGGCGCGACCCACAGACCCACGGCGCGACCCACAGCCCTGCCCCACAGCCAGACCCACGGCCAGACCCATGGCCGGACCCATGGCCAGACCCATAGAGCCATGGCCAGACCCATGGCTGGACCCTTAGAGCCATGGCTGGACCCACAGACCCACGGCGCGACCCACAGCCCTGCCCCACGGCCAGACCCACGGCCTGACCCACAGACCCACGGCGCGACCCACAGACCCACGGCCAGACCCATAGAGCCACGGCCTGACCCATGGCTGGACCCACAGATCCATGGCCAGACCCACAGCCCTGCCCCACAGCAGGGCAGACCCATGGCTGGACCCACAGCCCTGCCCCACAGTGGGGCAGACCCACAGCCAGACCCACGGCCAGACCCACAGACCCATGGCTGGACCCACAGATCCATGGCCAGACCCATAGAGCCACAGCCAGACCCACAGACCCACGGCCAGACTCATAGACCCATGGCCAGACCCACAGCTGGACCCACAGATCCATGGCCAGACCCATAGAGCCATGGCCGGACCCATAGAGCCATGGCCGGACCCACAGATCCATGGCCAGACCCATAGAGCCATGGCCGGACCCATAGAGCCATGGCCGGACCCACAGATCCATGGCCAGACCCATAGAGCCATGGCCAGACCCACAGCTGGACCCACAGATCCATGGCCGGACCCATAGAGCCATGGCCGGACCCACAGCTGGACTCACGGCCGGACCCACAACCCTGCCCCACAGTGGGGCAGACCCACAGCCAGACCCACTGCCCGACCCACAGCAGGGGGTGGGGGGGGCACAGGGCTTTCCTGCCCCATAGCGAGGTGCCAGACCTCCTCCTGCCCCATAGCGGGGTACCAGCCCCCCTTCCCACCCCATAGCGGGGTACCAGACCCCTTCCCGCCCTATAGCAAGGTGCCAGACCTCCTCCTGCCCCATAGCGGGGCTCTGAGACCCCTTCCCGCCCCATAGCAAGGTGCCAGACCTCCTCCTGCCCCATAGCGGGGCTCTGAGACCCCTT